GGGGGGGGGGGCAGTCAGGGCCGCCGTCTGGGGGGTACGGCTGATACTGATGTAAGGGGCCCGGGCACCTTACATGGGTATCGACCGTACAAGTGACAGGCCAGGAGGTGGAGGCGGCCGTGCCCCCGCAGCACCGGAGGAGACCGGGGCCCGCACGCTCCAGATTCTCACCTGGGATGATCCGTGCGGGCCTCCGGTGTCTCCAGGGGGTCTCCACTGTACATTAAATTTTTAAAGATGGCCGCCGCGAGTAGTATCTTTAAACCTGGCAAGCACCCATATCTCATTTAATATTTTGCCGAACAGGCAATATATTGAATGAAGATCATTCCCTGGTGGTCCAGTGGAGAATCAGTATGATCTGCATCTCTTGCTGATGCAGATCATACTGATCGCTCCCTCGTGGTTCCGCCGCTGACTATCAGGAAGCGATTAGTATGGTCTGCATCAGCCAGAGTGCAGATCACACTGATCCTTCACTGGACCCAGGGATGCAGCCCCCCTTCCTGCAAAACAGGTAAGCAGGAGAGGGGGACATTTTTTAAATAACTATTTGAATTGTTAATGAGTTTTAATGAGTGTGTGTCATTTTTTTTTTTTTTTAATGAAGCTATATTTGTGTTTTTTAATGAGCGTGTGGCTGTGTGTGTTTTTTTAATTAGCGTGTGGATGTGTGTGTTTTTTAATGAGCGTGTGCATGTGTGTGTTTTTTAATGAGCGCGTGGATGTGTGTGTTTTTTTAATGAGTGTGTGTATATGCGTGTTTCATTACGCGTGTGTGGGTTTTTTTGTTTGTTTTTTTAACCACTTCCCACGGGTTCACATAAATGTACGTCCTACGCTGGAAGTGGTTATACCAAGAACACGGCTGCTCCTGAAGGCTGGGTTCACACCTGGGCATACGGAATATGCGCGTGTGCCGCACGTTTTACCGCGATTTGCATGAAAAGAAACGCGCATCAAATGTGCGTTTCCAAGGGCTATCCGGCTGTATCCTAATGGATATGCGCGTCAAATACGCCCCAAAGAAGCTCCTATACTTCTCTGGGCGTAGGGCGTTTTACAGCGCGTTCCTACGCGTTGTAAAACGCCCAGATGGCAACCATGCCCATAGGCAATTATTGGTTTTCACATGTTGAGCGTTTTACAGCGCTGTAAAACGCCCAGGTGTGAACCAGGCCGAAGCCCCTCGTGTGAGCCAAGGCCGTGTGTGGAGGGTCTCCCCTGACAGATCGGAGGAGAGATCAGTGGCTTCTAGCTGTGGATCTCTCCTCCGATCACTGGACCCGGAAGTGATGTGCATTACATCACTACCGGAGTCAAGGCCGGCCAAGCGTTGTGGGAGGAGTGCCCTGTGTTTGAGGGGTTTTTTTGGAGGGGGGCCCAAAAAAAAATCTTGCACCAGGGCCCTTTGTTCCTTAGGTCTGCCACTGGTCACAGGCTTCTAAGAGCTTGATTGTATATATTTTTTTTTATAAATAGTGTATATTCCCATGAGGGAAAGGCTCAATGCAATTTCCAGGTACTTACATTGTGGTCTAGGTTGTAATAGGATTAAAATGATTCGGCACTGCCTAACATATGCATTTAGGCCACTGTTTATGATGTTAATGGTATGCAGCTTCCTAACAGCACATTAGATAAGAATGTCATAAATCTTGTAGTGTAAATCGCAATGCAGATATATAGGTTGTTTAACAACAATTGGAATTACCATGCAACATTTCTAAATAAAGTACTTAAACTCCTGTAAACTCACACTTCTTGATTACTTAAAGTGACATTAAATCCTCAGATTTTTTAACATAAACCAATACTGTAATGTGTGCCTTACTGTAATCCATGGTAGTTTCCCTTCTCTTTGCTGCTCTTCCTTTTAAATCTGTATCTGTTCTCATGCTCTGCAGAACTTCTGTTTTGCAGCAGACTGCCTTGTCTCAGGAATGGATACACGTGTCTGTGTATACGTTTCTATAGGCTTGTAACCTGAGCCAGCACTACAGGAAGAGGCCCTGAGCTGAAAAGGGAAGTTCTCACCAAGCAATGAGGATTTAAAAGGAAAGGCAGCAAAGAGAAGATAAACAACCATGGATTACAGTAAGGCACACATTACACTATTGGTTTATGTTAAAAAATCTGAGGGTTTAATGTCACTTTAAATAGAGGCGTTATTTACAGGGTTATTCAAAAAAGGGTGAAGAGTTTGGAGAAGGCAGGAGAAGTGAACAATCTAGGGAAGCGAGCGGCAGAGACAGAACTAAGTAATAACCTTTTTGATAACTTTTTTTTTATTTTGGTATGTTTTTGCATATATCTACTGCTTGCTAGAGAGAGTTTAATTATACTTTAACAAGCCTAAGCAGTACACCTTAGGGCACATTCACTTTGCCAATATGGGCCATACGCCTCCAAGAATCAGCATTTCTCTGAGGCAAGGATGCATAGGTTTGAGCAATAAGCCGTGGACAGCAGTCTGCACAAGTCAATGACAGTCTGACGGACACTGTGGCTGTTCATGTGTAATTGCACATCTGAGCCATGGAAATGCTGTTACATGTGATGGCTGATTGCACACACCGGTGAATTCCAACCACAGAGAAACACTGATTCTTGACCGCATACAGCCGTGTGAATGGGCCCTTATTGGAAAAGAAGACACAAAAGCGACATTATTTAGATGTCCAGCACAAACGGAAAATTAAGACTGCACTGCATGCATTAAACATCTGTGTATGTGTACTTGCGTTGGCTGAGGAGCAGCATCGCAGCAGTGGGCCACCAGAAAAGTAATATGAGCGGTTGCCAAACTTCTGCTCTCCAGCTGTTGTGGAACTACAACTCCCATGAGGCATTGCTAAACTCTTACAGCCACAGGCATAACCTCCAGAGGTGGATGAATGATGGTAATTGCAGTTTCACCACAGCTTGCCCACCCCTTGTATAGAGCCTCTTCTTTGCGCAGGTACTTGTTGTTTTGACCCTGAAGTAGCAGGGTCACTTTAATGATGTTTCCCTGGTTTTGTTCATATTAAAACAAGTTAAAGCTCCATTAACACATAGAGGTTTGAAATTCAGTGCAGTTTTCCACGCATTCGTCTGCGTGGCACGAAAACACACACATTTTAACATACGCACGGATTCTGCATGTTTGTGGCCACTTCTAAACCCAAAATTAGCAGACATTTTAGCACGATGCGCACTTTCGTGCCGCGCGGACATCGCGCAGGTGTAAACAAGGTACATTGGAATGTATTGGTATTTATGTTTTGCGTTAATGTGTGAACGGAACCCTACTGTGTAATCCCCAGTCAAACTAGCTAATGTACAGCCTCAGTCCCTGAGATTTTACTGCTCCACAGACATCTTGCAGAATGTGTAACCACTTTGGACTTACTACCGTGAAAACTGCTCCCTGCTACATAAGAGAACTTGCAAGACAAGAAATACGGTAACTTCAATTGCTGACTTGTTATAAAAGGCTCTGGGGCACGTTCCCTCCTCTCACCATGTTTGTGTTTATCAATTAATCATGTATGCTATAGTTTTGCAATTCTTTATCCTGTGTACTTTACGCTGCTATAAATATTTACCATGGGTAAATTCTACACACAACAAATCCTGTACTTTAATGTTACACTTCTGAAGGAACTACTGCTCAGGCTTTATTGTTTACATTTTTTAGATCATATAACAAACTAAAGATAAATAAAAAAAAATACTAATTGTAAGAGAACGATCACTAAAAAATGGCTTTACGTACAAGTAAAATGTAATGTTGTATATAAATACCATATCACATGCTTTCTTGCAGTGTGTAGTTAAGTGATCACGAGCTGTTTGTGTCTGTTGAGTTTCATGGTTAGTATCTCATGTTACTGTAGGCTATTGTGTGCCAGATATGCACTGACCTGTAACCCCCTGTTGTCTGTCACTCCATGGGGACACTGGAAGAGATGCAGTCAACAGAGGAGCCATAAGGCACAGCCAGAAACCGAGAGCACCCATGTTCTTGTGCTGCAGATCTGTACGATCAAAAGGAATCTATACAAGACTTGCTCAGAAAACTTCCTTGTTTACACAATGTGCCGTGTAAGTTCCTGAGTTGCAGAAAATTAACCAGTGCATGTAAGGAAGAAAAAGCCAGATAATTACTCAGCATAACTTGAGTTTATGCCCAAGGGAAGTACTGGGGTCAATGTAGTTTACATAATTCAATTTACATAAATGTAATTTGCATAACACCAGGCACAGGGATTTTTGTAAATGATGAAGTGTCAAGAAATGCTCTGCTAAGTTTTAATAAACGTCCCAATCACTACACGGTGCTTTAAAAGAGAAGTAAAGCCAAAACCTTTTGGGGGGCTTTACTTTCCTTTTGAGTCACAGAAGTACATTTACTAAGATACTCCTGTGACCCAAAGACAGCACATAGCGGACTACTGCTCACTATATGCTGACAGCGCAGCCGGGAAGAATCCCGACAATATTGTCAGGATCCTGATTGACAGCTGCCTGATTGACAGCTGACTCTGCCTCTCTAGATCCAGAGCCAGTGGCCCCCTCCCCAGTGTGTCCCTCCAATGTGTGTTGGAGGAACAGAGAGGGAAGGGGAGAATGCCTGCAGGAAGGAGACTGTGAGCTGAGCGATCAGCAGTCACACAATCGCTCAGCTCTCAATCTACAGAGTTGGCGCATAACAGATGCAGTATCCCACACTGGCTCTGAGTATATTTTACTCTCCCAATACGGCCCTTTAAAATCAGCACTTTTCTTTCTGCTAGATAGTGCAGCCCCCTATGTACATCCAGCGTGCTACAGATACAGGTCTCATAGGCTGCAGCATTAGAGTACTTTTTCCATCCCCCTCTTCCCTTGGCCAATCAAAGAATGTCTATTCTGCGAACCATGCAAGGTGCACAGAGTGTTGGTGCCGTTTGCAGTGGTAGTAGTTTTAACATTGCTGGTAACCCTGTCAGTGCTCGTCTTGGTATTTCCACTGGTATTGATGTTTTAACTAATTCTGTTAATTCTTCTGGTTCATCTATTGCGGTTAACCTGTCCATACTAATCATATCTACTCTGCTGGTATTCTTTCAGGTAATTCTGTTTATTCGTCTGTTCATCTGGTTAAACTGGTTTTTGTTGGTGTGTCAACAGCTGCTATAATTTATATCAAATGGCTAGCAGAAGTGGAAGGAGCTGATAGTGGTGGCAGGATAATACATCTTGAGGTGCTAGATTCCAAGCAAAAATTTTGTAGTAAGCATCAGCTGGATGGATGTGTAATCATTGCTGATCCAGGACTAGTTCATTTTTATAAAAGTGAACCGGCCCACTGTGTCAGTGGACAGGTGGATTCATCTATTACAAAACTGCCCATTGTGCTGGATGGCCTCTCTGACAGCACACTGTCCTCATTGCAAACCAAGCAGTCCCATCATGTTCTGAGCAAGCACCAGCCCCAACCTAGTCACCCAAATGTCCATTGGGTCCTCAGTTTAAAAGTTGTCTGCATCCAACCTGGATCCCAGGTCATATGGTCTAGATGCTGCCTGTGACTGCTGTCAGCAGCCAGGCCTGTAGGCTATGATTTTAAAAACAATTTGAAAGTATTGCTGAGGCAGGCACCACCACAACTGCTCCTTCTTTCACCAATCTGAGGATTGGAGCTACATGGGCCAATAAAATGATTCCTGACACTCTCTGGAAAGGTGACCAAGAGGTTCCCCTGCTGCATTTCTTCCAAGTGAATGGGCAATCTCTTTTATGGCCTGAAGTCTAGGGTCCTTGCCTCAGTATGAATGAGCCCATTCTCTACAAATTGCCCTCAGCAAAGCACAATGTCCTCAATGATCTCAACCCACCCAAGTACAACTGTTGACAAATCAGTTGGCAGGTAGCTTGTTTTGCCATTGCATTTTGGGCAGGCAAACACTCCTTAGGTATGACTCTAATATGCACAAGTGATCCGCGCTCCTGTTTCTCACAAGCTAATCCTCAACAGCAGCTGTGCAGAAAAAGAGCTAAAACAGCCCTTCAGAAAACGTTTTGTACAAAATGCTCAGCGCTATCAACAATATTTTCTTATTTAGAATACATGCAAACAATTGGAAAGTTGAAAGAACATGCTGAGCATGTTCGGCCGACCCGAAGCCATGCGAAGCAAGCCGATGTATGGCTGATTTCAGCCGATATACGGCTGAAATCAGCCGTACCAGCCTGAAGTGAATAGCCAAACAGTGTTCGGCTCACTTCATTTCAGGTCGGTCATTCACTTGGTTGCCCTCGGCAGCTTAGTGAATAGACCCCTTAGTGTTTGTCTCTTCATTTGATTATTTTTGGCCATCTGTATTACCCCATGATTGGTTTCCTAGTGTTTAGCAGGAACCATGACATAGTGCCGAGGACATTGTGCTTCTCTTCCCACTCCCTATTCTTTTTCAGGTTGCCATTGGTGATTTCGGCATAAAAGACCCGAGCAAAGGGCACCTTTTGGCTTACTTTTTGGCAGGTTGTGTGTCCACGTGCCTACAGCCTATAAGTATTTCTGCAGACCGTCTGAGGAGGATCAGCCCGTGGCTCACACCCTCTTTTTTTATATTCGATTATGTTTTGCCATTATGCTTTTTAGTGGGGTTATTCATCTAGTCTAGTCATGTATGGATATTGTAATACAAGCCTATAGAACTGGTTTATGATAGGGTCTGTTATGTGTTTGTAGCGCTCACCCCCGAAGGAGCCGCTGATTGCCCGGTTCATTTCTAGTCTGTCTAGGGTATGTTCTTCAGCTGCCCACCCAATAGCACTAACCGCCTTTCTTCCAGTGCTCCAGTAGTAAAATGCCAAGTAACAATTTATTGAACATCTTCACTGGGGAGAGAGGATATGGGGGTTCTAGGTGTCCAAGGGTGACCGACAAGAGCTCCAGACTCACCAGACCTTGTATGAATATCAGTGTAGATCCACTTGGGAGACAGTGGATTGCCACTGATGTAGCAGATAGGCAGGATGGATGCAGATCCTCAAACAGGAAAGACACCGACCATGCTCCTGAAGTCCACTTAGTTCCAGGGCACTTCAAGAGCCTGCATTGGTCCCGGTTCTCTTCCTCTTTCAGCATCACAGGCCTCCTCCATGTTAGAGGCCTCAGGGAAACCTTTCCCTCACACCAGTCCATGGTCTCCAGGCCTGACCTGGGGGGCAGACTGAACAGCACCCAGCCCTATTCCATGGCTGGTCCCGGCTAGTCTGAGCACATGGCAAATCCCACCAGTATATGTACCCTATCCCAGCAAGCACCACTAGCTAAGAGAGAAACTCAGTGATTGGCTGCTGTACTGTACATACACTACAGTGCCTCTTATTGGCTGTCCCACAACATGACAGAGTCAATGGGGGGGTACAATCAATGCTAGACACCTGGAATTAACCAGATAATTGCCACTACAAATCCAGCAAGGCTGACTACAGCCCTGGCTATGACTAAATGTCTAGTAGCCACATCACAGAAGGTGATGGAGGCCACATGTTTATACAATGTTTATTATAAAACTTTGCTTTAACCCTTAGTAAACACTATGACCCATTTAGCCCAATAAACCTATTTCAACACGTGTCTCTTTATTTGGTGTTCATGTTTCTATCGCTCCTATGTACTATCCCATGTAAAATCTCCTCTGATTCCTTTAACTAACCAGAGATCTAACTCAGTCTTTTTCCTTGCATAGCTGCCAGGTGTCCTGTATATTGCACAACAGTCTGTATATGTTTTGTATGTTGGTGGTTTGGTTCCTGCTTAACTGATGACTTAATTACATGTGGACATTCCCTAGTACTACTTATTTTGTTACATTGGATATTTTTCTGTTTATGTAAAAGCAACACTGTACAGCTTCACATCTTCTGCATGGTGGATTTAATTGTCAGTATCTGTTCTTATTCTGTATACATGGTCACTGTGCAATAGCACTTCTCTTGTGCTATATCCTGGGTCCTTCTCACCATTTTCTTATTGTCCATATATCTACAATTATTGTTTGTGGGAGAAGCAAACATCAATTTAAAGAATTGACGCATATTCCAGCACTCTTACCCAGCTATTGATATTTTTTCTCTATCCTGTGTACCTAATAAAATGTATTTTATTAGGTACACAGGATAGAGAAACCTGTTCTTATTGTGTATAGTGTATGGATGCTGAACAGTGCAACTTCTCTAATCCTCAGTATATGTTCCCATTTTATACATATAAACAATAGCACTTCTCCTGTAACCTTGGTGTAAATCTGAGAATATGTATTATGCTTGCACAAACACTGCATGGTGCCACGTCCTATGCATACTGGAAGTTATTTTTGTAATCTGCTCTTATTCACCAACACACACAGTGCAACTCACTTTGTTATCACCCTCTAAACTGGTCCCCCAGATTGACATCTCTGTGGAGGAAGTTTGTGATCTGACACCTTTGTCTAATCCATTAAACCATGTTTGCTTCATCATTTTGCTGTAAGGACAATATTTTTTAGGAATCAAGTCAGCCAAAATCAATATTATAGCTATAGGTGGCATCTGTTTGGGTGTAAGGAGTTTGACTGCTCGTCTCCCGGCCAAGAATCCGAACTGTGCATGCGCCTGCCGCAAGATGCTTTGCGGCCGTCCGAACAGTTTTGTTTTCTCGGCGGGAGCGCGCAGCGAAAACAAGGTACGTTTAAACCGCTGTTAAAGCGGGGTTTTTTTTTTTTTTTTAAAACTGTTTGCCTATATCTCCTGCCTATATCTCCTGCTTGATAGCAGGAGATATAGGCAAAAAAACGGGAGGGTTTAGAACCCCTTTAAAAACTAAAATATGGCAAGACCATGGTTATATGCAGATCAGCCTCCAGACATGCCCAAGTTAGGTCCAGACACTGATCAAATGGAGTAGTAACTTACATGGGTTGGTGTCCTTTTCATGGAAGAAAAAAATAGAAAATACCATATAGTGTGTGTATCAGGACCCAGAAGTGCTTACAGCAGAAGGACAGATGGGGCTGGGGGTAGACAGAGTGTCAGTAACATATTGTACCTGATAATATAAATTATGTATAATAATAATAATAATAATAATAATAATGTGCTGT